GTAACAAACAAAATATAACCAAGGCATTGTGGTCTAATGGTGGTTAAAAGACGCAACGGAATGAGGTAAACTCTTCTAACCTGAATTTGATTTTATATGTGAACATTTTAACTTCTATTTGATCAGTCGAAATAGTATCACTTTTTAAACCTATTACAAAATCCGGTGAATTAGTAAAGACCCGGATCCTCTAGTTATAAAAAAAAAAAACTAATAAAATATATGCATGTTATTCTTATGGAACCATGACCCGACCGAAGTTCTTTACTGAGACCATGGAACAATGGATTGAACCCAAATTGGAGAAGGAAATGGATCTGTGTCTATGGGTGTGACAGTTTAGCTTTCATAGAAGAAAAGAAAAGAGAAGAATTTTGTTTTTCCTCTGCATGTACCAGTCAAAAGAAAATGAATAGAAAAAAATTTCTGCTGAAAATGTTAAAAAGTAGTACAATCGAAGAATTTATTTTCTTCCTGATGTGACTTTTTTTTTTCCTTCTCATTTACTCTAATCTTTTAACCAGTCATACCCACATATGTCTTGGTTTGGATCAATTTTCCCAACCAAAAAAAAATATGATGACTAATTAACTGTTTTAAACATAAAAATGGACCACGTGTATCCACCCCACTTGTCAGCTTGATCCATTACGTGTCCATGTAAATATGTAATCCATACAAACTTTTGCAGATTATTTTATACGCCATGAAGAAAATATTAAGATAAGTAAATAGAGTTAAATATTTCAATGTTTCTTGGGGTTGAAAATGTGAGATGTGTATTTGGTTCCCTAGTTATTATTTTTACTTCAACAAACATAATATTGATCAATAGCTTAAAAATGTATGAGCCTTTTAACAAAAGAAATAAGAACTTAAAAATGAATTGCTTATCGTATAATTGAAGATAAATCTAAATTAATTGTTCTTGGATCGGTGAAAGAATATGCACAAACAACAAAACGAACTTTTTTTTGGTGCTAAATAACAAAATGAACTAGCCGTTGCTAATATTATTACATACTTTAATTGGGAGGATAGAAGATTTTAAGATATAAATAAACTCGTTGGGATGATTTTATTCAACTACCACACATGTTAGCTGTTGGTAATTACTTTACACATGTTCAAATGGTTGGTAGGTTAATTATTACAAATTTACAACTACTCAGTATTACTAATTTATTATCTACTTTGTTAAATGTCTTCTATACATTTTTTCTTCAATCAATATTAGATATGTTCTTCGACGACGATCTCTTGGTAGGTCCTCTCATAAACATTTTCAATGTTTTCTTTTTCAGAGGTACTTTTCGTCCAAACAATATTTTCTAATGGCGCTGAAGAAAAAGAAAAATATTATCTACAAATTATAAATCTAAAAAAGGTTATTCAGCCTATAAAATGAAAAGAGACTATTTTCTAATGGTTTTGACCGTGAGTGAGTCGAAGTGACTCCACAATTTGTTAATTTAGTTAGAAGTGGTTCATGATAAACTACATTGTGATGATAATAAGACGGTTCTATAATCTATACAATGCTCCCAATTTGGTGTTCAGTAATTATCACACCAAAACACATTGTCATTGTTACGAAATTCATGGTATTTATATTTAAAAAAAAAAAAAATTCATGGTATTACTATTATCATATACATTTAACAAACGTAAATTTGATATTGTCATCATCACGTTGAACAATACCTGAAAATTTTATATGTATAATAAACACCAAAAAAAAAAAAACTAGAACGTACGATTTGTATTTTGTAAGTGTGGCAAAAAGAAAAAAACATGCGTCAAAATAAGAAAGAGGTTGTCTTTCGTTTTGGCTGGCAGCCACGTGGCAGATTCAGAATAGACCACCGTTACGTTGCACCTCTCATAATAATCTTATCTTCTTTCTTTCTTAGATGCCTTTGGTCAAACGGTCAAAATACCAAAATCAAAAAATCTTTACTTAAATTATTAATTATCCCATATAATCAAACATTATTAACTCAGTAATGTAACAGATTAACAGTAAAGTTATTAATTGATTTGTTTATTGATTATATAAGGTAGCACGCGAGCAGCACATGTGATTATTGCGTACATTATGCACTTCCCTAACCTGACAATTTACTAAATCAAAATAATTATTTCTAGTCCTTAATTATTACAATGCATCATTAATTCTTACCAATAATTCCCCCACAAATTTTAATCAGTGTAAATTTCTGATCATCAATTAGAAATACGCGTCGGAAGATTTGTTTACATATATTTATAAAGAAAATTGTGGTCTATGAAAGGAAATTTACAGCTCATTTTGATAAATAGGGTATATATTTATTATAAAAAAAATATTTTCGGTGGAAAATAAAAAGTATATAAAAATTGTCAACCATATGGGAGCCATTCTTTTCTTGCTGTCATGCAGTACTATTATCATTATATCCGTTGGCTTTTTATTTTTTATTT